ACGTGGCATTAATTTTTGAAAGATACAAACAAACATCATATGCAAACTAATGGGTGGAACTAAAGTTCCAAAACCCTTCCAAACACAACCTTACCCTTACAAGGTTAATCTCCTCTAAGTTAAGAACAACATCAAAGGTATGAACATCCTCAAAGATTTTGTTATTGTTTCAACGATTTATCAAATTTAATATTTTTTAAATTTTTGGGCAAATTACATATACACCCCTCGAGGTTTGGCTAAATTACAGATACCCCCCTGAGGTTTCGGAAATTACATCCCGCCCCCTGAGGTTTGTATTTTCATAACAATTTGCCCCCTGAGGTTTATATTTCATAACAAATTACCCCCTAATTTCTTATGCAAATATAGCATTCAGGGGGGAATTCATAATTTCTCAAACCTCAGGGGTATCTGTAATTTAGGCAAATCTCGAGGGGGTATATGTAATTTGCCCAAATTTTTAACACAAATATTTTCACACAAATTTTTACGATTGACTTCAATAAATATTAAAAAAAAAAACTAATGTTATTTGTAATTAGTGTGTCATGGATAATATTAAAAAAATCATGAATATAAGTTTTAAAATAAATTATATAATGATAAACTAATTTTTTATACAAAATTTTAGTAAAAATTCAATATAATAGTAATACCACGTCATCATTGACATATGATATCACCAACAATAATAAATAAACACATAGAGGACGAACCTCACATGTCAAATATAACTAACAATTAAACAAATTTCATATCTTCATTGAGGTTAAGTATATTTGAATGTCAATAGTGATAGATATTACCATTGTACTGAAATTTTCATAGATAATAATATGATTTATCGTAATATCTTTATTTTCAATAAAAAAACAACCATTATTATTCTCATAATTTTAAAAATGTCATTGACATGTCACTCTAAATAATATTTTATAATTTTTTTATTTAAAATATTTTCTTAAGTTTAAAAAAAAAAAAATTTATTCCAAAACCCGGGGGAATATGTGACCTCCTAAACCTTATGTGGCTCGGCCATTGCATAACATCCTATAGTTAGCACATTAAAAGCTTTCAGTCCGATTTGATTCACACTATGTCAAAGAAAAATGTTTGGGGGCCCTAATTCTGTGGCTCAAATGTGGCTCAAATGGCCAAAACGACGTCGTTTTGGCCATTTTGATGTTGTTTTGTACTCAAAACGACGTCGTTTTGGCCATTTGAGCCACATTTGAGTCACAAAATTTGGGCCCTCTACCATTGCTGTATATCAAAACGTGTGAATGTGTGAACAAAATACAAGTTTAGATTGGTTTATAACAATGAAGTCAACAACATTTTAGATGAAATTAATACATTTTTTGAATGTAGGATCCACAATTTTAAACCAATAAAATTCTGTTTTGTTCACATAAATTCATTTTCAATAGCAACCACTGAAAAAAAAAAAAAAAACCCTCATAAACCTTTTAACAAACACATTGCCTGCATCTTTTAATCTAACCACTTTTTATGTTCCTTTATATAATCATCATCCTAAAATTCAAAACAAGATCAACAACACATGCAAAATTAATATATGAAACTTCAAACATCACAGAATTCTTTTTTATTTTTGTTCAGAGAAAAAAAAAAGTTCTATTTTATAATTTAGAAACAGAGCAAAGGATTGTAGAGATTGTAGAGATGCAGAAGATCTAAACAAACTTGGATAAATTCTAATGGCAAAAAAGACCCTCCTAGGATAATCTTCAATGACAGACTATTACACTCCGTTTGGATCATGATGTGAGAAAAGAAAAAAGAAAAAAGAAAATATTTTATAATTTCTCACGCTTGTGTTTGGATGAATAAAAGAAATGATTGGAGACTATAAATTTATATTACCCCTTGCGATATGGTTTCATTGCACTAACTCATTATAGGAATGGATCTAGAGAGGGCGGCCATCCCCTGCTCCCAGGGCGGATTTCAAAAAACCCCTTGCATAGTAGTATTTTTTATTAACTACTTCTAAATTATACAGTTTGAGCCCCTTTAAAAGTATTTTTTTTCCCCTCCGAAGAGATAGGTGGTCACCCTTTTAAATCTGTGACACATGGGGTCAGCGTATAAAATTCAAGATTTTAGATAAAATATAACAAAGGAAATTTGATTTCTCATAATTAGTATTGATTATAAGTGCTGACCTGTAGAGTAGAGGAAAGGGTAAATGAAGACTCATCAAATTACTTGAGACATTTTTTGAGATTTTAATGTCGATTTTATCACAAATACTTTTTATGACATGAAACATTACTATATTATTTAACTCAACTAGTTCACCTTTATCTATTTGTTTTTATATGGCATATCAAAGTATCTGTGTTAATGAACAACAAAAACAAATTCCACATCTGAGATTCACATACGGATCTCACTGAGGCCTAGAGGAGAAATTCAATCATGGTAACAGGATGAGAGAGAGAGGGGTTTTTATTGAGGAAAGGGCCGGAGAAAAGGCACTGTTGCTATGAGAAAGGATGAGGCGAACGGTTAGAAGAGGTGGGGGTTGGATAGTTGAGGAAACCAGATGGGGGAGGAGTAGAGGTTAAAAATTGATTTTTTAATTTTTTATGATTTTTTTTAGAAAAGAGATGTAAAAAAAAGTAGGGGTCAAGCTTTTTTTTCAATATGACATCGGATTGGAGCATATTATTGGGTTTGCGGAAGTTCATCACGGCTTCTGTTTTGATAATTCAAATCATGCTATGTAGAACTTGTTGAATATTTTATTTCTATAAAAAATTACGTTGATCGGATATCAATGACTACTTAATTAAATCAAATTTTAGATTAAATTATCAAAATAGAATCCGTAATGGACTTTACAGGCCTAGAAGCATAGCCTAGTCCACTTCCGGAGATAAGTCTGATCCAAAAAGTGAAAAGGTTATTTGATCTAAAAAGTCAAAAAAAAAAATTCAAAAATTAATTTTTATCTGTATTGTTAAAATAAGCCTAAGCCTCCATTTGGAAAGTGGGTTGGCTTTTTGGCATTTTGATTTTTTGGCTATTTTAGCTTGGAGCTAAAAAGCCTGATTTGTGAAGGGCTTTTTGACTTTTTGGCTTTTTTAACTTTTTTTGTGAGAGAAAAATATAATAATTATGGATTGAATTTGATGTTTTGTTTTTTGTGACTAAAATAACCTATTTTATTTTTTATGACAATTTTAGGACCCACGAAAACCAACTTCCCAAACTATGCCTAAGTGAGAGAAAACATTGGAAAAGAGAACATAGTGTTTTTTAGGTAATCCATAAATTAGCTAATGTGGCGATGATTTATTTGTTGTACGTAAGGGACTTATGGCATGGCATAGTCATAAATAAATTGTGTCATTTTGATTCTTTATATATAAAAATATTTTTTAATTTAGACCTCCAATTGTGTTTAAAAGAATTAGATTGAGGGATTAAATTGAAACATTTTTTATATGTTAGAAATTAATTTGATACAATTTAAATATAAGACATTTATTCATAAATTCTTTTTTACATACTTATGTTTCATTTAGTTTAAATTATTTTATACTCTAATAAGTCTAATAGGTGACATAGTTACCAAAATATCTATAATAATAATAGGGTGAAGCGCATTAATGTTTACATTGACAGTATACATGTTTGTTGATGTGAACATTCACACTGTCAAATTTATTTAATGTGAATGTTCGCATCACCAAGTTGCTAAGCATTCAAAAATATTTTTAAGGGTAAAATTATCTATAAAATACTTTAAATATGAAAATTAGAATTTGATGGATCAAATGTTCAAAATCATATGATTTATTGGAATACAAGAAATCTTATGAACTAATTGGGATACAAGTACTTGAAAGAGAATTTTCTAATAAATTTTTCTTTAAACTTTGGAGATTAAAATAAAAAAAAACTCATATTTTAAAGATTAAAAAACAAACACATTTGAGAGGGAGTTTAGATGTGAAAAAACAATCTCTCACCAATTGATCTTAGAAAGAAATAATCATTCATACCAAAATATTCTGGAGATGATAATAGAACTTACATATTCTGGAGATGAAACAAATAGGGTGGAATAATTCAGTTTCCATGAACACCAACAAATACTTTGCATGTATAACCCTGAAGAGCATGAGCTAAGTCAATGAAGGAGTCCTACTGAATTGAATCACATTAATACTTCCCAAAATCTGCTCTGAATATGAACAACCAATTAACAACATAGATAGTTTTTTCCCTTTGCAACAAGTTAATGCATCTCCAGATATCAAAGTATCAGTTGAGACTTGAGAATGAGTTGACGAAAAAAAAGAACCCGGAATAAAGTCAACTTAGAATTAATGTGCATCGACATGATTTCCTGATGTTATATGAAGAAAGAACAGTAAAATTAGTTGATGATCTGTCTGGATTATGAGATGGATTGTAGAAATAGGCTGGATCACTTTGTATCAATACTAAATTAATTTTATATGTATGCCTAGGCAAACATACTAGTTGCGATCTTTCAGTTAGTTTACCATGATATCGATTTAATTTCATTATCACTTACGAATCATGATGTTTCCGTAGGTCCTGATATACTTACTGCCATCCACTAAGTTCAAATACTCTATAAGAAAGTATTTCTATTCAAATACAAACCAAATGAGCAGTACTCCTAACTCAATTTTCAAGACAAAGTCAAAGCCTTATCCATTCCCTTTTTATCAATACTTAATTAATTTTATATGTATGCCCAGCAAACATAGTAGTTTTGATTTAATTTCTTCTTATCATGAAAACGAAACAAAACCAACAAGTTTGTTGAGAAATTAATTTGGCGGAAAAGGAGATGAATAATGACTGGGCCACAAATCAAACAAAAATTTCTCTCATCACCATGTGCTTGAATCATAATTTTAGACAAAAATTTGGAAACAACATGGAAATGAAAAAAATTAATTAATTTATATTTCATTCACATTTTTTTTCTGTTCCTTCCAAATCACTATCTAAATTCATAATCCAATCACGAACTCAAAACTTCCTTCAACTGAGCTAGGCAGGGCCACCAAGCAAACGCTTCACATTTTGTAGTCTCAGCTTCTCATAGCCCCTTAGCTTTTGATGCTCTCATGTCCCATGCCCAAGCAGTAGCTACAAAAAAATAAAAACAATAAATAAATAAATAAAAATAATTGAAGCTGGCTAGTTCATCCATAGATAATCTTGGTTAATTGTTCGATAATTCATGAATTGTGGGGGTGGAGCAGTGAGACTTGGTGGCCAGTGGGTATGGTTGTTCATGGCGGGTTGGTAATGTTCTTGTTGTCAACTTGGCTCACGCCTGCTGAGCCAGTTGCCAATTGTTCATTTATATTAGTGTGTTTTTATCACTTGTGTTTTTGCATTGTTTGCTCAGCTCAATTGAAAAGCATGAACAAAATGTCATATGTGAATCATATTCAACACATATGCACACATAAAAATACTATACATCAAATATAGTGAGAGAATGTGAGGAAAATCCCACAACATTCTCTACAATTTTTCTCTTTATCCTTTCATCAAACAATAGCAATCACATCAAAGAAGCTGTCACCAACAGTAAACAACAGTTTTCTTTTGCTGCTGTGCATACAGAGAGAGAAAAGAGGTTGAAATATTGGGAAGAAGATTTTTTTAGCTTTTTTGGCTAAAATAACACTAAAAGACAAAATATGCTAAAATAACTAATAAGGCAAAATGTCACATCAAATCCATAATCATTTCACTTTTTCTCTCACAAACATTTATATCCAACTACAAAAAAATCCAACTATCTTACTAAATATAAAAATTTTAGCCTCTTAAAATAGTCAAAAACTAAAATAACCTATTAAAATAACAACTTTCTAAACACCCACTAAGAGAATGGTAGGGCCAAGTTGGCATTTCAAAAAAATTAATCGCTCACATCATGTAAAAAATTGTTAATTGACTTAAATGTTGACTAATGGATGGGGGAATTTGTAAATGTGATTGAAAACCGAAATTGGCATTTCAAAAAATTTAATTGCTCACATCATAAAAAAATTGTTAGTTGATTTAACTGTTGACTAATTGATGGGGAAATTTGTAATGTAATTGTAAACCTCACGGAGGAGAATGTAAATTCCAATAGGTCAGGGTATTAATGCAATCAAAGTAAACCTCAGGGGGTGTCATTGTAATTTCCCCTAAAATTTTTAAAAAGTTAAACCTCAAATCCCTTTATTTGACATCCATCCATCCAAACAGAACCTTAGGCAATTTATGTTTATTTCAAATTCTGTAACCTTTTCAATTCTTATCTCCAATAATTAACAATAGATAACTGAGAATCAAAACAATATTAGATTGAATTCAGAGAAAGCATAAGGTAACCTGCTTAACTTGAATGTTAGAGCAAGTCATTCATTTTGTTATTTATTGGGCTTTTCAATTATGCCAGTACATCTGAGTATGCCTTGTTATTAAATGTTATGATAATAGAACTTAATATTCTGGAGATGAAACAAATAGGGTGGAATAATTCAATTTCCATAAACACCAACACATGCTTTGCATGTCTAACCCTGAAGATCATGAGCTAAGTCAATGAAGGAGTCCTACTGAATTGAATCACATTAATACTTCCCAAAATCTGCTCTGAATATGAACAACCAATTAACAACATAGATAGTCTTTTCCCTTTGCAACAAGTTAATGCATCTCCAGATATCAAAGTATCAGTTGAGACTTGAGACTGAGTTGACGGAAAAAAAGAACCCAGAATAAAGTCAACTTAGAATTAATGTGCACCGACATGATTTCCTGATGTTATATGAAGAAAGAACAGTAAATTGAGTTGATGATCTGTCTGGATTATGAGATGGATTGTAAAAATAGGCTGGATCACTTTGTATCAATACTAAATTAATTTTATATGTATGCCTAGGCAAACATATGAGTTTCGATCTTTCAGTTTGTTTACCATGATATCAATTTAATTTCATTATCACTTACGAATCATGATGTTTCCGTAGATCCTGATATACTTACTGCCATCCACTAAGTTCAAATACTCTATAAGAAAGTATTTCTATTCAAATACAAACCAAATGAGCAGTACTCCTAACTCAATTTTCAAGACAAAGTCAAAGCCTTATCCATTCGCTTTTTATCAATACTTAATTAATTTTATATGTATGCCCAGCAAACATAGTAGTTTTGATTTAATTTCTTCTTTCTCTAGAACTTAGCAATATATAAACTTCAGGCGCAATATAAGTTATAACATACCAGTGAAATCACAAGCTGATTTTGGTTTAATAGTGCGATGCTTGGTCACATGCAATATTTCTTCAGAGATGTAGTTTTAACCTACCAATTACATCAGTGTGTTATATTGCTATCCGACTTTCAAATTTGCAAATCCAATGTTTCAGCAGTAAATACTTTTTGTGAACAAAATGTGTGCACCTTGAAAGCCACATGATTGTAGGATTTATTGAGTAGTCGAACAGACCAAGAGCACTGCTTCTTCAATTCAAATATAAAACACAATGAATAATAGAAAAACATATTAGTCCATTAGTAACAAAATAGAACAAATCTTACCCCTTGGCTCCAAGATAATCCACTGAACAAGGGAGATCTATAGCATATAAAATCTGAAACATACATATTACATTTCAAGTAAAATAAGCTGCTGTTCGTGAAACTAATTTTCTGTCAGTTTTAATATTTTTCTTATTCCCATGACTCTAAAACCTCATCAGGGTACTACAAGTACAATACAGACAAAAAGAGTAATTTTCTAAAACAGGGAAAACAAATTAGCATGAGTACTAAACATCAACAATTTATGAATGTGATAACTCAATTATGACTTCGAATTTGCAAGGCTGCTGAATGCAGTTCCCTCAGTACCAATAAAAAATCAGTTGTATTCATTTGTACCTTTGTTTTATGGGAAAATCTATGATGAGCACCCTAAAAAGGGGCACATTATAAAGAAGTTAACGACTTTTGTGGTGAAAGTTATGAATGTTTGTGGTATGTGCCAATTTGTGGCAAAAGTTATGACTGGTGAATTTATAATGTGCATCTTAAAGTGAAAGTTATACTTTTGTGGTAAGCTAAAGTTATTGATGCAAAATATAAGCAGCTCAAGGAAGCCTAAATTAAAAAAAAATGACGATATTTGGACATTGACGTGATTTCAAAGAGAAACTTATAGGAATCATACATAATATAATTATGTTTCTAGTATTATTAGAGTCTTATTTTATGATTATTTTTATGTTTTCTAGGAATTATAGGTTAGGGGTATTGAAGTATTTTTCATATTTGCTGACATAGGCTATAAGGGTCATTCAATTGATTTTTATTTATGTTTCTCTTTTTTGTCTTAAATTGGTTTTGAAAGTCAAATTATTTTAAGCAGTTTCCTTTTTTGGCTTTAGTTGGTTTAGGAAGTTTACTAGTTTTATATAAAGCCATGTAATACTTATAATTTAATAGAGTTGATATTTTAGAGAATTTGAAAAGCTTTGAAGCTTTCTTATGGATTGTGTGGCGTAATCAAACCCTGTGTGTGATGCCTAAGGGATTCTAGGAGTGGTTCCTAGACCTATCTTCTTCTTCTTCTCTTTTTTCTTCTATGCACACTAGTTGCTATTCTCGGGTTACTATTTACAAACTTCAAAAAAACCCCCAAGGGTTGGCCTAGTGGTGGAGGCTTGGGACTTAGGAGTTTGCTCCTCTCTAGGTCTCAGGTTCAAAACCTCTTAGGTGCTATCAACTCTTGTGTTGGGCCAGTCCATACGGAGCTTTGCTCTGGCTTTAAATGGGCCCCCCGCTAGTGGACGGTGGGATTGGTTCCCCAGGGATTAGTCGAGGTGCGCGTAAGCTAGCCCGGACACTCTGAGTTATCAAAAACTTCAAAAAGTGCACTTTTCAACCTCAAAATCCTATCCAATCACCCCAAATCAACCATAATCCCTTCCCCTACCTATTAGCCTTGAATTTAACCGTTAAAATCATAAATTACTTACTATTTAGGCCATCAAATAACATCTGTTTTTAAAATCCAGCACTGTCCTACATCAGTTATACTTTTGGTAATGAGAAAAGTTATGCCATAAATTTTGTACTTTTATTATAGAGGGCATACCATATGCACCCCCCTTGTTTTATAAAATAATATGTGCAAGCATTCACAAAATCAAAGTAGAGATTGGAAACTAGGAGATAACACTGCACATAATCCACTTGCATCTTGCAAAAATTTGCAATAGCGGGGGAAAGGAGGTGCAGGGTGGCGATGAGAGGTACTAGAAGGGTTTGGATGGTTCTGGTGGCTAGAATTTGAGTTGACTAGGTTGTTGGGTTGGGTGGGGATGGGGAGGGACGGGACGGAAGAGTGTCGGGGGTGGGTAGGGGAGAGGTGGAGGGTGGAGGGGATGGGTGACGGAGGTTAGAGAAGTGATGGGGTGGCAAGGGAGAGCAGAGGAAGGGGCTAGAGGAGGTTTGCAGAAGAGGCTAAAAGAGAAGGGTGTTTTCATCCTACGTTATAAAAATTCCATGCTTTATAATATATATTTTTGTCATTTTTCCACTTGTGTTGTAATTTTTTAAAACTCCCAACTGATTTGTAAAAATTTTGCCCCAGTTACACACCATTTTGTTATTTTCCCTACTTGTTTCATGCAGTCACAGTATTAGGCTCTTATTAAAATTAACAATAAAACCAAAACAACAATTCATTCCATATTTTAAGCCCCAAAGGAGGAAAATTAGAGTGCAAAACACCAAAATTAACAGCAAAGCCAAACTCCATTCTCCCATATCAAAAATTTAACCACAAACTCAAAATCTTCCAATTCACAGATCTCGGAGCCATAACCTAAACAACATTTTGATTTTACTAACATTCTATTCACGAGAGTTGTATGATAAACACTAAAAAAATCCAAATTTATGCCCTAATTACACAGCATTTCGTTCGAATTTCAGAACTAAAAATAATTTAAAAGTAGGCTACAAGAAAGAAGTACAAGAGACCAAGAGAGAGAGAGAGAGAGAGTAACTTAGCTACGTTGCCGAGTTGACACAAGAATTCAACAAGACCTGACATGGCCACAACTTGGAACAGAGATTCAGGATCATTCCCATTGGCTGCTCTGTACAGCTCAGGATCAATCAAACTCTACTTATTCCATGTCTGTTACCCAGTTGACAGCATTCTCATCAATAAAAAACACTAACACCAGTTTTCTTCTTATCAGGTAGATGAGAGTGCAAGAGATTATTCGGAAAAATTGGTCACATGTTTTTCCTTCTCATTAAAAATGTAGCATAAATTTCCATCAAAATACGTAGTAAAAGGGTCATGTCATGTTATCATCCATACCAGGGTTAATTTGTCTCTTATTTCACCAATAATCTTTACATGAACATGACCCCTCAATAAAGCAGTGGAAACGGTTATTGTCCCTAACAATTATCTCTCTACCAGTAATCTTTGAGATGAGTTTTATGGCCATATGGCAATCGCCACAAACCCGAAGATTTTTCACAACTCGAATTACATAATCTGGAGCAGTACTGATAAGAGCAAATGCAATAGCTAGCTTCTCACTATGACAACCAAGGAAATGCTCCTTCTCCTCATCTTCAATATCAAAAAGCACAAATTCTGTTGTCGGAACATAACCAGCTGCTTTCAATTCTTTACTCAATTCACCAAGTTTTGCATATATCTTATATGATAAGGGATGAGTCGTGTCTCCCACAAGGAACTCGTGAACAACTCCATCTACTTCAATCCAACTATAACCAGGCGTTTTCTTCATCCCTCTCTCAATCATAGATGACCTGATTTTTTCTGCATCATCCCATCTTTGGTATGCCGAGTAAATATTTGACAATAGTACATAATTACTAGAGTTCCAAGGTTCCAACTCAATCAACCGTTCCAATACAAGTTCAGCCAGTTGTGTATCTCGATGTACCCTACATCCACCTAACAAAGCTCCCCAAACAATGGCATTAGCCTGCATTGGCATACTTTTGATTAGTTGATGGGCTTCATCTAATAGCCCTGCACGGCCAAGAAGATCAACCATACATCCATAGTGCTCAATAGTAGGAGTCAAAGAATAGACATGATTCATGCTATTAAAATACTTACGACCATCATTGACAAGACCGGCATGAGTACACCCACAAAGAAGACCCATGAAGGTATTCTCATTAGGTCTTATCCCATATTTCTCTACTTGGCCAAATAGACCAAATGCAGCTTTGACATAGCCATTCATGGCAAGTCCAGATATTACAGCATTCCACACCACCAGGTCTCTCTCCTTCATCCCTTTAAAGATTTTCCAAGCTGAAGTCATCTTCCCACATTTTGCATACATGTCAATGAGTGCTGTGCCCAAAACTGGGTTGATCAAAAACTCATTTTTCTCAATTAAGCTACTTGCCCGGTCCCCTAATTCTAGCGCTCCTAATTTGCTGCAAGCAGAAAGAACTCCAACCATGGTATAACAATCAGGTTTTAAATTTTCTCTTTGCATGTGGTAAAAGAGGTCTAGGGCTTCTTTTGGTAGTCCATTTGATGCATAACCCTGAATCATGGCACTCCAAGAAACTATATCCTTCTCGGGCATCCCATGAAAGACACTACGAGCTCTATCCATGTTTGCATACTTGGCATACATATCCACTAAAGCAGTGCCTATAAAGATATTCTTTTCCATTCCATTTTCTACTACATATCTATGTATCCACTCTCCACTACTCAAATCCCCTAATTGAGTACACGCAGACAAAACACGAACAACTGTATAACTATCAGGCCTCAAACCCATCTCCAACAGCCTATGAAACATATCAATTGCTTCCCTAAATTGACCAAACCCAATATACCCACTAATAATTGCAGTCCAAGAAACAACATTCTTGTCAGGTATATCATCAAACACTTGATGGGCATCTCCCAAGTACCCACATTTCGCATACAAACAAACCAAACCAGTCTTAACAAACACATCGTAATCGAAACCAGCTTTCACCACAAGGGTATGCATTTTCAGACCCAATTGGAAATCTGAAAGCCTGGTGCACGCTTTTAGAACAAAAGGGAAAGTGAAATTGTTGGGTAGAAAGCCGTCTCTCCGCATTAAACCATAGAATTGAACAGCTTCGTCGAAATAATCATTGGAAACGAAGCCCCTTATGATCGTATTGTAGAGATAGATATTGGGTTGTTGTGTTTGGTGAAAAACAAGTTTAGTGTAGTGAGTAGTAGTGTGAGAACCAGAAGTGAAGCAGAGTTTGAAGATCATGTTGAGGAGATAGTTGTCTTGATCGAGGTCGAGGCGGATAAGCAGAGAATGGACATGCTTGAGCTGCTTCAAGGAACTGAAACCTCCTTGAAGGAGGCGTTTTTTGATCTCTAAGGCATTTGGAGACATGGGGACGAGTTTCAAACATCTCCCTCAATTTCCGCCTATGACTTCTATCTGTCAGTTTCAAATCCTAAATACTTTGCACATTTTATATCCTTCAGAGAAAATTAGTTAAAATGTTGTCGGTGATAAGGACATGCTAAAAAACGAAGTCGCCCCGGCCACGGCCATCGCTAGGAGGTGGTGTGATATGTGTCTCATTTGAATAGATAAATAGTTTGGTAAATTTTAATTGATAAGAAATTATACTTGTTGAATTTCAACATCTGAGCCAATTAAGTAATTTTAAAATATAGACAGATAAATTGATTAGTTATCCTTTTAGATAAATTATATCTTTTTTGGCCCAAAAATATTAAGGGATACTTACTAATAAGTTTTATACAAAAAATTTAAAATTTGTCTAATTCCAAAACAATATACTTGTACTAATTAGTCATACATATTTTTAATTGTTACCAAAAATTCTTTTTTTATGTAAATTTAATAACGTTGTTACATTCTACCACCGTCAGACTTTCTCGTCAGAATGTTCAACATCACCTGCAAGTCACCGGAAGTATGCCGGAACGTCACTGGAAGTCGCCGGAATGTCCAGAATGTTCGCTGGATGTCAAGAATATCGTCGGAGACTCACGAAATGTTCAGAATATTATCGGGAAAAAAAATGAAGAAATTATGGTAAAAAAAATAACAAAATGTGCTAAATATTGATAAACTGGGGGAAAAAAAAAAGAAAAAAAACAAACATAACAACAACAACCAGTAACAATGAGAAAAAAAAAGCATAAGTTATTTTTTAATTTTTATAGGGTTTAAGCAAATAATCTCTAATATTAATCAAAGTGAAAGGCAAGCTTTGAAATTGTAAAATGTTACAGTTTCAAAGTATGGTTCTATTAAACATTTATCCTTATTAATCAAATTAGAAAACATGTTATGAAACTACAAAATTTTACAGTTCTAAAGAATTTTATGAAACTGTAAAATTTTATAGTTTTAAAGAATGATTCATTTCAGTATCAAAAAATTCAAATTGTAAAATTTTACAGTTTTCACCGCTTGTAACTAAAACTCGAAAATAACTTGTTCAGCATTTGATAATTTTCTTCATTAAAATAGGAAAATAGAACTGTGTAGTTGAAAAAAAATGTAGAAAAATTGAGAAATCAAAGGAGAGAGATATATAGAGAGAGAAGATTGTACTCCGACAACTATTTTTGGTTTAGATCTAGTCGGATCTCATGTAAATTAACTCAAATCTGATGTAGATCTGAGCAAATCCAAATCAAATTTGAGTAGATCTATTCATCTTCTTTGCTAGAAACTCGTTTCCTTTGCCGGCGAACCCCAATCGATGATGGTCGTTGATCGCCGGTGACTATATATTAAAAAGAAAAAGATAAGAAGTAAAGCGTAGTCATCGGTCGTCAAAAATTGGGAAGAGATAGAGGTAAAGAAAAATTAATGCATAGAGAAAAACGAAGAAAAAAAAATACATAGTGAACTTTTGAGAGTCTCCAAAAAGTTGTCGGACTAAATAGATTTCTCCTCTTTTAAATAGGACTTCTAAGTAATTTGTTCAAATATTAAAGCTTAGGCCTAATGGCCCAAAAGATTAAGAAATAGACTTATTGCCTGAGTGCCCTATATCTTACATCTCATTTTCATTTTAGGACTGTGCAAAATATCGTCCAATCCACTAAAATTGCCTGATCCACACCCATCTATCCGTTAACTTTGGATTAGTTTGATTCGCAGTTTGAAATTTATAATCTACCTTTGAAGCCGCTCCACTATAATTAATACACATATTTTCACCATTAAAAGGTAAAAAATATTTTCTAAACTAAAATGTTACCAATAAGAGACTATTGTATAATAGTTAAATCATAATTTGCTGGGTAGAAAAAAATAATTTTATAATTTAGATAACTTAAATCATACAAACAAACCTCCATTAAAATAGTTGTGGGGATTGTAACTTGTTCAAAATAATAATAAAAAATGAGTGTTTTGTTATAAGATTTAAATTATGCAAATTATAAAAGGATTTTTTTTTTAAGATCTCTAATATTAAGACTTTATAAGATAAATGACATATAGTTAAGATCCCTTAACATTTTCATAGAGAAATTTCACCTGACTAAGAGAAATTTTGCCCCCGACATAGAGAAATTTCAAAATTTCTTTGGTATGATCATAGAGAAATTTCATCAAGAGACTTTAATAAAAAAAAATATATTTTGAACCTCTTTTACTATATAAAGTTGGAGATGAATGTTTTACTAATTTTTTTATTATAAAAAGATGTTTCTTTTAGGGCTGAGTAAGGAATCCGTGAAATCCGTAATCCGATCCAGTCCAGTCCAATCCGGTAGGTTTGGATTGGTTTTTTGAATCCGTGGTTCGGTTCCGGATTGAAAAATTAAAAATCCGTAGTTCACGGATTGGTATAGTAATTTCCTACATGCATGCATCTATTGACTTTAAATTCAACACATACAACTCAAATTATGTCAATTCTCACTCTTGATTACCCAACTAGCTTGAATACACAAAATCACAAGTCCAAACTTATGAATCAAGGGATGATTACTCACCTAGGAGCTTAATCCTTACAATCTATGGTAAATTCTTGAGTGTGCCTTCAAGATCACCAAGCTTTGAGGCCAAAACTTCAATTTTCCTTCACCCTCTCTCCCTCTAGCCGACCCTCTCCTTTTCTTAGTGTTTATGATCAGCCAAGTAAAGCTTAAAGGAGAGAAATTGGGTGTGTAGTGCCCATATTAAAAGCCTCTCTTGTTATATTATTTTAATATCAAATAATAGAGCTCTAAGTCACTAATTAAATCAATTTAATTTGATCCGAATCAATTTTCAATTAAATTTCACCGTAGGCTCTAAAAATTATGCCAATCACAATGGCGCAATCAATTCCGGATTCTGTGGCCGATAAGGTCTTCAATTTAATTTCCAAAGCAGACAATTAAATAGATATTCCTACGGTGATCAGATAGAAATTCAAAACCACATATTTTCACCTAATGGCACACGAAATCATATCAAAACACATAATCACATTTGTATTAAGGACCAATTAACATAATAAGGGACAGGGTTATCATAAGTACGTTCCTTCTAAGATTTTAGGTTCAAAACCTCTTAGATGTAAAGTTTCTTGATTTTAATTGGAATCCTTACAAGTGGATGATAGAATTAATTCTTGAATTAATTGATCCTAATGAATCGAATACCGAGTAATTTAAAATTTTGTTTTACAACTACCTTACATACACGCCAACTTATGTATAATCTATTATGTAGATAGACCGATTTAAAACAAGCCAGTGAATTCTATCTAAAAATAAATAAAAACAAATCAAGCTAGTGAATTATCCATATATTTTCAATTAGACCAATTTAAATCAAGCTAGTGAATTATCCATATATTTTCAATTAGACCAATTTAAATCAAGCTAGTGAATTATCCATATATTTTCAATTAGACCAATTTAAATCAAGCTAGTGAATTATCCATATATTTTCAATTAGACCAATTTAAATCAAGCTAGTGAATTATCCATATATTTTATTTTAACAATCACCTAATTATTTCACCAAATTTTTGGGAAATTATAAAATAAATAAATAAAACTCAAAATTTGTCACACCCCAAACTTGCCCCTAAAATTTCGGGCATGACCTACTCGGAAACACACACTTCCTGCTATATAAAATATCCGGGGCCTGAACGGAAGCGTTAATATAATAGAATAACATGCAGACACATCCATTGAGCTACTACAAATATGCCAGGTCCACGACTCGGAATTAAACATCTAGTGAACATGCATCTGAGATTAAGTTACATACACATTTACAAGTCCAGCCCAGAGGTTGGGCATATAACAAACATTAGATACAAATCTACTTCAGCCCATAAAACATTAGTACAAAATGACAAAGTCTAGCAAAATTGCACTAGCATGCAAAGGGCTTCTCCAAGTGCCTGGTTGTCTTTAGGTTGACAAAAGATAGATGATAACGATGCTAGGACTGACCTCCAAGTTGATTACCTACAGAATCAGACAAAATTACAGAGTGAGATAAGCTTAGTGAATAATAACACTTAAGCAGTTTAATAACCTACTTTAACCACAATGCATAATAGTGCATTCACAAAAATGAAATCCAAATAGTGAGTCTGATATTGTTTTACTTTCAGAACGGCCTTGGGCCTAGTATTACAGTTATAATAGAACGGCCTACTGGCCTAGAAATACAGAACAGCCTTTCGGCCCAGAAATATACAGAACAGCCTTTCGGCCTAGAAATGTACAGAACAGCCTTTCGGCCCAGAAATATCTATGTATGGACTCAAGACGTGGCTCCCACCAAGGTGTAGCACTTTGTTCCATAGCAGAATGTATCAGAACAGTTTAACTTCAGGATCATATAGAACACACACACCTTCTTCCCTTTATTCACGTGAATTACCGTAGATAATATCAGTTTAACAGAATGTTGCTGATAATTATTCGCAAAAAGGTAAATACATTTTATAGAGTGAACGCTTCTAGAAATATGTATATACCACAGTTCCATAATGCATGTACCTCCCATGTGCTTATCATGTTTCAATACTATTAACTAGCAGATAACATAATGCTCATATTCATTATCCGTAGCAAACAAAACGTTTAGTGCAATGATGCATTTAGATTTCTTCACGGTTCTTTGAAAATAGACATACTTGTCTCGTAATTAACAAAACCTTAACATTAACAATAATCTGAAGGTAAAGGTACTAGTATATCAGTAGGTCAGAACAATTATATCACAACATGAGTCGCATAACAATGTCGTTGATACTCAATTCCTTTCTATTAACTGGCTTCACCGTTTAATACTTTGTATGACATTTTGATACGGAATCATAGGTAATTTTTAGGATGGTACATTACCAACAACCATTAGTCATAACCAAAATACAGAGGAGGTTCTGAGTCATACCAATGCACACCCAAAGTCTTGCAATGTTCCCACTAATTCCCAACATACGATTAACCTAACTACTTGTGAAGAGCAGAACGTTAAACAAAAGAATTATTAATGGTAATCAATTGTGCGATTCCTGTACTATTACTCACAGTGTTGTTGCGGAGCGGTGGTTCCTCCTGTGGT